TGCTTTTAACATTCCAACTTACAAATTGACTGCACTGGCAAATTCAGAATAAATTATTCAATCCGCTTATGCGTCTAATATATCACAAAGAAGCAACCGTAAGGAGCACCATCTGTTGCCAAGACTCCAAGCTCTCCTACCCGCAATGGTAATTAATATAGCGCGTTGCCATCTTCTGCCGAATAGCACATAAACTTGCTACCTTCCAACAACAACTAACACAGTAACAGCCATGTCCACCTCCTGTTTCTAACATAAATACTTTTCCAAGCACCATTTCCTTAATCGGCTTGCAGCTTGGCTCTCCACCAATGGCATCTCGCAAGGTGTAAAGACTACGCATAGTAGGATCACCCACTTTCATCACACGCAACACCGTCATCGGTTTTTAAAGGTTATGCTCAGCACAAGTTTCAACCTCTGAGCAAAAAGCAGGAGCAGAAACCGAGTGGATCAAGCCAGTCAAATAGACCCATTCAATGAGTCCATACACGTTCTTCCCTGTCCTGGTGGTGGTATTCCATCTGGCAACGTCGCCTCTTTCCTACACCTGACGCAGCAGCGCGGCACTTACGAAGACCGGCATGCCCGCGGATGATCTCAAACAGCAGAAACAGAAACGCGTATCGAAAGCATTTCTCTATCATTCTATTTCAAGGACAAATGTACGGGAAAATCTTTGATATGTGAAATATGTCTATCAAGTTCGTAGAACTACCGATGTATATTGAATGTATAAATATAATAACTTCAAAAAAAATTGAGTTATATCTTCCTCGACTCTCTTATAACTCGCAACTTTTCATAAATGACCAGAATCCTCTGAAAGGTCAAAAATAAAATTTAAATGATTTTAATTTAAATTTTCAGCATTTTCGTCCTTGGCATATTAGCCACTTTGTGTGAAAATGTCATCAAAATCCGAGCAGTACTTTTGAAATTATACCAAGGTCAAGGATTAGCCGACAAACAGACCGATGGAAATCAATGACATGGTTTTTGGTGATTTTCGAAAATTTTCGTGATTACAACGCTTCCTCCACCAGTAATCGTGGGAAATAAAAAAGGTATTTGGAACGAAAAATGAGTAGTTGCGAAGCTTTTTTGCGGTTATGTCATTGATACAAATGAAAATGTGCCATTGCTACGTTGGTGGTGATTTAAGATTGAAGAGCGCGGATAGTGGGGGGCTTAATTTAAGCTGCGCTTCTAAAAACGAGTGGCGGCGATTGAAGAAAATTGAAGAGCGCCAGGGCATGTAATGTAATATTTCTGAAACTGCTGCAATACTCGAAACTCAATTTCCACCCATCCTAAGGAGAATTTTTAAATACGGGGGAATACCGTGCTTCAGAAGCTGGCATCCGAAACTTAATTTTCACACATCCTAGGGATAGTGTTTGGGCTTAGGGATAAATCCTAGACGTCTAGGAACGTTTTTGATCTCGGGTTCGGATTCACCGTCAAAAAAATACATACGAACATCATGGTTTGTCTCAGGGATCTCGACTTTTATTTTTTTGTGGGCCGAAACGTCTGAACATAAAAAATGCTTCCACGAGTGATCTTACCGTTGCTAGTCGGTATACGTTGGTGCCAACTAACTAGGAAAACAAAATATTTAGCGAGCGCACATACAAGGACACAAGACACAACAGGGCTATAAGCGTTAGAGGTGATTACGTTTGGTGGCTTTCAAGGTCTCTGGAGGAAGCGACATAAGGCGGACATCTGCTTCTCTGGTGTTCCCTTGATGGTGAGTTGCTGGAAAGTTTGCGGGGTTCCGTAATGCAGCTATGTACGAGGGTTGCTTGAAAAGCTTTCGACCTGACAATAAATTTTCCGATAAAAAATTATTTTATCTTTTTACATAATCGCTTACGACTCCAATACATTTGGTGCAATGTTCCGCAAACATTAGGATTCCTCCTCGAAAGTGGAAGCCAGGGAACAGATGGAAGTCCAGAGTGCCAAAGGGTTGATGGTCAAGCAAATCATATCTCAAATCCTGCATTATTTCTAATGTTAACACACCTTGGTGCGTACCTCCTCATAAAAAGTGATATTTTTCTTCTTTAATCTTATGAGAAGGCTGGAAAAGTGCTGGATCCTAATTGATCAACTCTTTTCCAGACAATATATTAATATAATCCCTTTCAAATGCCCGCATACACTGACCCTGACATTTCCGCTAGGTGCAACCTCCTTCAATTTCCCTTCTTTGACGCTGAATTTGTGTTTTGCAGTTACGATGTTTTTCTGGATGTAAGCAGGATATAATTGCCTAAGGTGCTATCAGAGCGTTTTACAAAATTTTGTCTTTGCGCAAGAATTATGGTGGGTTGAAATGCTTACTACTTGTGCTCAACTTTTTGATATATTAAAAAGATCCTAGTGGATAAAATCGAAAAAGTGGATCGTTAGCACCCTGTGGACTTTATTTTTAGCACGCTGTAAGAGTTTCATTTGGAAATAATAAAAAATGAAACGCAAGCTGTGAAGTGTAAATCGGTTTTTGGGCGAAATTCGCCTACTGTTTCGTCCTGCCAGTCCAAGCGACGCGACGGTGCGTTCCGACTAAGAATAAATGTATTCAAATAATTTGATATCTTTCCTAAAATAAATTCAAGAGCTCAAATTACAATTCGTTTATTCGTATCAGTAAACGCAATTATGTTTACAAGGGTCATGTGGTACATGGTAACAATTGAATGAGAGTCATAAAAATATCTTATGCCGTCAAAATAGGAGGAAACAGTTAGGTAGTTTTTGAAAAGCAATAAACAGGTAGACTTATACCTGGATCGAGTACATTTCTTGTCTACTGTAATAGGTAGATGGAGACGATGCTGCCAGAAATGGATGTGTGCGATCAATAAACAAACCACAAGACTGAACTGCGGTGTCCAATGATTTTTGTAATGCCTTTTTTATTGCGTTACTAGAAAACTCTGTTGGGTATATGATGGAGTTTACTAGAACTTTACAGCTTGTTGTCAGCCTTCTTCTACAAACTTCACCAAATCGAGACGCTGTCAACCTTATCCTCCGATGAAGGCGCGACAAAGTACAGTCCTGTGATTTGGTGACTTGTTCGATCTGCAAAGTCTCGTCGTCACTTTTTTTCAGTTTCCCTAAAAATTTTCGCTTAGCAACCTACAAGTCAATGTAGTTAGTGTCAGGTTTTTGATTGAATTCGCCATAAAACTATTCATTTTCTTTGGAATTGCTATCCGAATTGTTAGTTATTTTTATATCAGCTTTTTTTGGTCTGAGTTTTTCTCAAGATTCTTGTGTTTGAGCCTTTGTTCCATCCTAGCGATAAGCGAGATGGACTAAGCTTAGAACGCAAATGTATATAGAGGTATATACAGGCCGCCGGGTATTGTGGCTCACTACAGCTGCAGCACATCTTCCATGGTATGACCTCTTCTTGCAATAATTCATTCACTTACCGCAATGTATTTTGCTCCACACTTTGTTGACCTCATCACGAATTAAACTCACTGCATTCGTAATTAAAATGGTCGCATATGACCCTTTATTGTCCATTATCAGCCTTGATAAAAAAAGGCACTCAAGAACAATCACACCTACAACAATTCAACAACACAAGATCGACGAACAGTAACAAGGGGAGAAAAATGCTAAATGATCACTTGCTGAGTACCAAAATAAGAAATGATTTACATTCTAGATCGCAAATCCAAGCGCCCGACGACCGTCTAGGCCCAGCCCACCCTCGTTTCCTTTTCACTAGGCGGTCATTCGACAGGACCATTGCTCGATATAACACGTTCACCGAATTTTGATTTCAATTGGTCGATTGTTTCACCCGACGTGTGGGTTGTGGCACCGTCTTCTTGAAACCACATATCATTAATGTCTAGTTCTAGCTCATAAAATTGAGCAAAAAAATAACGTTGCAACATGTCTCTGTAGCGATTTCTGTTGACTGTGACATGACGGTCATTTTCATCAACGAAAAACAACGGCCCAATGACACCATCGGCATGAAAACCACACCATACAGTTATTTTTGTGGATGAAGTGGTGTTTTTTTGAAGCACATGAGGGTTTTCACCTGACCAATAACGCATATTCTGTTTGTTGACGAAGTCGTTTAGCCAAAAATGCGCCTCATCACTGAAGATGATTTTGCGATGAAATTTTCTCGTATCATTTGTAAAGCCCAATTCCAGAACGTACGTCGGTTCATATGATCGAACGGCTTTATTCCTTGAGTTAACGTGATCTTATAATTATCTTATAATAACTGGCAGGGGAACATCCAACAACGAATATGCGGACTCAAATTTTTTTACTTAACTATGAATTGCTTGTCTACTGAGACTTGGCGTTAACGCTCTTAGTTGCTGTCACCGACTCGGAATTTCGGTAGAAAATTTTAATTATTTGTTAGCGTTGTTCGTTCCCATGATGAAAATGTTTTCTTTACTGAATGTTTTGATATTGAAATTGATTTAAAGGTGCGTTCACAGTGAAACTTCAAAGTTGTCAAGCCCCTATTGGAAAACGCGATAGAATGACGATACAACATTCCAGAATTTATTGCCTCTCCATGTTTTTAAGATACTTTTCTTTCCATGCTGAAGTCTGAGTACTGCACTGCGATATGGCTCTATTTATATGTAAATTTGGAATTTCAAATTTTCATACATGACGACGGAGATGCCTTAATTTTTCGTTTCATTTACCACAAGAATATGTTTGCCTTGAAGTTTTACATTAATGTTTTTGCGTACCACCACTGAGGAATATTCGAGCAAAGGTAGCGATTATTGCGAATTTAAACAATTTATACTAAATCTGGCCAAAATACATTCAAGTGACGTACTTCCAACATTTCTTCAACTACATCTCATTTTTCATCATATTCCAGATTAACTAAATTTGGTGCAGATCAAAAAATGAGTGCAATTAACCTTTTCCAGAGCTTTGTGTTTATTGATTAATCGCATTTTTTTGTTTTGTTTCAGAAACCATCACGGAAATTCTTGGAAGCCCTGAGATCTTCATCGATATTGGATCTACGATCAACCTGACATGTATAATACAATACACGCCAGAACCACCTCCTAATATCGCATGGTACCATAATTCACAGGTATGTAAAGTACCCTGAAGCAGACGCCTCCCGTAAAACGGGCCCCTATTCTCAATATAGTCCATATTTATAAAAAAAGTTTTACCTTTTGCTTTCAAAAAATAAAGCAATCCCTTCAAAGTATAAGCATAAAAAGAAGTGGAGGAAAAGGTCTCTCTTCTGTAACGTAAAAGGTGTTAACGTTTTCTTATTTATAAAAAGAAGCATTTGCTTAAAAACTAAAGGATTTGCTTCTGAAAAAAAAGGATCTAGGTTACAGCAACTTTTCCCATTTTATCATCAGTTGTCCCGGCATCTTAGAGCCTGCATCTTAAAATTTGTGCAGCTTTGTTTAATAAAATCTATTTGTAAAGGCTTGTTTAAGTGATCTTTGGTCGATTAGTCCCAGTATTGTGTTAGTTATGGCTTATGTGGTGCATGTACGTACAAGAAAATACTACAAACCAAGACGTAAACCTCGTGAGTCAGATTTCAAGACGTTGTTTAGATTTGAGGAGGAAAATGTGGTGTGGTTGGCAAATTACTTTCTTGGCATGGATTTCGAAACTCGTGGAGTGCAGAAAATGAAAATATTTCTGCGGTTAGTAACTATTTCTTTCAACACGTCATCATTTTCCAAGCGCTTCCCTTCCAAAATTACTTGAAAAAATGAAAGTCTGATGGTGCTAAGTCAGAGCTATATGGTGAACGGTCGAGTGGTGCCCAAGAAAACCTGTCGAGTTGCGTATGGGTTCCTGTCGCAACATGAGGCCGAGCGTTGTCGTGAAGCAGGATGACGCCGCTAGACTAGCGCGCCCAATTGAACAAGGAGAATCTTTCTTTGCATTGTATGAAAAGTATATTTACGTATAGGGCGGGCATACAATCAGATACAGAGGCCTTCTATAAATATAAAAACAAATTCAAATTAAATTTCTTTAAGAACAACTCAACGACTCAGTTTGCATGCTGTATAAAGCTTGATTTCAAGTCAATCAAGGTCGAGTAGTGAATCTGTAATCTTGACAGAGCCAAAATTTGCCAATAAGACAACATCAAAATTAGATTTAGTTAGAATTCGACACCTTGCAGATGATCAACTTTGACTCGCCCAGAGGCGGCATCAGTCTGGTGACTGAGAAAGGCCCAGTCACAACCAGCAGACTGCTGATCCAGAACGCTGGTCAGGCCGACTCAGGAGTCTACAATTGCACACCGTCCAATGGGAACACAGCTAGTGTCCACGTTCATATACTCAACGGTAAGTTTCCACTGAATTCCGGATATTTTCTTCTGTTTTAGCGGCATATTGAATTATAAACTTTTCTCTAGTGTTCAATTGGAAAAGTGAAACGTATTTAATTGACAGTCTTTTGACAAGTTTCTCCATCGCTCTTTTACGGTTTTAGTCTATAGAATCCAGATCAGAGCATTACGTTGGGCTGAAATATACTTTAGCGCATATCGCAAATATTTCATTTCATTTATTTTAAATTGAAAGATTAGGATGTAACTTGTACGAAAATATCATTTTTTCTTCAAGGAACCCTCTGCTTGCTATTTTATAGAACTTCAAAGTGGCATTTTGAGTGCTAATACTGTGGTATAGAATACTGCTTTATAAGCCGATTTCTTCTTGTTTATACAAAAGAATGTTCAAAATTATATGAATATAACATACACTGCAAGTTACTGTGATACTGTTCGTCGCAATTATGCAATTTTGCATTATTTTAATGATAAAAATAGTTCATTGTCATGTAGTCATTTCTTTTATTTCAGATTATTATTCCCATCACTACACCACCGTCACTGTCATATTCTCTCCATCTCGTTGCGATGTTGCCAAATCATAGATAGTAATAGACATTAATTTGGTTTGTCAAATTCTTACTTATACACTGGCGCAAAAATGTGCAATCGGCACAGGATTGTCATGAAAATGCGATTTGAAGGTGTGGCCAGCAGGTTTTAGATACTGTACTAAATCCACCTTGTGCCCTACGATAGCGTTCGCTAAAGAGACTTTTTTGAAGAATGCCTTATACCTTTCACAAAAGTACTTCGGTTATTGTTTTTCCTATATTATAGTTATAATCTATTTACTTTTTGTATGTATGTACTTGAAAAATTACTTAAAGTGAAGCTGATGGTACAGAATGTACCTAATTAAATGTGATATACGAGTATATGAGAAATAACTGAAAAAGTAGATGTTGCAAATCACTAAATAATGAAAACATAACAAAGAACATTCCATGTTTTTTGATGATTTGAAGAAATGATCGTTGATCTTTATTTAACTATAATGTTGGACACATACAGTTCAAAATTTCATCTGGTTTTCGGTAAATATTGGACAACTTTTCATAAAACAAGCCATTTACAATAAATTAGGACTTTTATTTTGCAAATAACCTCATTTCTAATTACGTATTTCTCCCAAAATAGGTACAACTTGGCAACAATGGACATCATTTATTTTATCTGTCAAGAAATGAGCGTTATGAAATGGCCATTGAGAATTGTTTCTTTCCTACTTTCAAATATTTCTTATAAACGCAAAAATTTTGATCTCATTGAAAATACGCGAAAAACTGCTTAAGGAATTTCAAGAAGACATTGAAAAATCACAAAACAACACCTCTACACAGTTTACCAAGTAAATACCGTATGTATTACGTATGTATTTTGATGTTACTTAAGCTAATAAGCTGATGTGTAATAAAACGTCTGGTTTTGAACCTTTTTTGCAAAAAACGATGATTTTTTACAGTTTCACATCTATTTTCCTTAGTACACTACAGTGTATGTTATATTCTTATAATTTAGAGCTTTATTTTGTACAAGAAGCAAAAAAGACAGCATATAAAACAGTATTCTATTCTAGAGTATTATCATCAGAAATGCAACTTCGAAGTTCTATAAAATAAAAACTGATATTTTCGTAAAAGTTACATCCTAATCTTACCTTATGTATAGTCTTACCTTATGTTGGTACTGTAGAAGATATTTCTGATTTTGCTGGACAAGCACCATAGATGAAATAATATCTTCGACCCCAATAAATAATCTGACAAAACGAACATTTTTATGTTAAGTTCATAAATATTCTACAAAGATCCATTAACAAGATCCCAAAATCTGTTTAGAGGGTTTTGTTATTTTAAACTTTTATTTTTTAGTTCCTCATCAAGCACGTGCTCTATGTACAGGGTCCACCAGAAAGAACGCATGTTTTTTAAATGAGTAGTACAGTCAAAATAAGTATGGAAAAAATATTTTAGTATATCAAAATACTCAGAAATACATGCCATTTTTTTGAGCAAAACAAAATTTACGGTCTAAAAACTATGTCGGCCATATGGCGCCCTTGAGCCGAAATGCAGGAATCAAGCCTCTCCCGAAATGAGCCCGTTGCGTCGGCCAGCATCCCTGCGGGAATTTGGGTTACTTCTTTTCTTATTTCCTCCTATAAATCGACGAGGGTCCAAGGCTTGCTTTGGTAAACTTTTGATTCCAAGTAGCCCCATAAGAAAATCACAAGTTGACAGGTCCGGGGAGCGAGGGGGGCATGGAATATCGCCAGGACGTCCTGGGAATTTTTGCCGAAGAAGTTCCATCGAAGTGGGAGGTGTGTGAGATGTTGCCGCGTCTTGTTGGAACCACACTGTTCTGTGACGGACACGTCGACGTCGAAGTTCCGGAAAAAATAGTTGTTCAGCATGTGGATGTAACGCTCTGAATTTACAGTAGTTGTTTCTCCATCACCATTGAAAAAATAAGGGCCAACAATCATCGTGGGGCCTGCTGCACACCACACTGTAACTTTCGGGGTATATAGGGGGTGCTCATGCAAATGTAGGAGGTTGGCCGGAGACCAATATCGAGAATTTTGTTTATTGACGTATCCATCTAAATAAAAATGTGTTTCATCACTCATAAACAACGTCATGCCATTGTTATCCAACTGTTCAATCATGAGCTATGCAAAATTAACACGTTGTGCATCATCCGCTGGCAACAGTTGTTGACAAACTTGAATTTTGTAAGGATGAAACACTAAATCCTTCTTCGATGCGAGATGCGACGTACACAGGACGCGTGGATCCCTAGGGAACTGGCATGCAAACGGACGGAACGATTCAGGTTCTGCAGCAACTTTCACTTTGTCTTCGTTTTCGGGGGTTCTAACAGTACGGTTTCGCACTGGCGGTTCACATTACCTGTTATGTCGAATGCCTCTACCCATCTCAAAATGGTGTTACGTTCTGGTACCAGAAACTCACGTTACGATCGAACGACAGACTCGCCATTTTGTAAGTACCGACGTACAGTAAACACACGATGCTCAACCTTCCAAACTATCTTGCCAACTGAAACCGTACTTCTCCCACTATCCAACACGCCCTTCCCCACCGACACGGTAGGCCGCGCGGATCGAACGTCAGTACTGAATCTTAACCTTACTCTTTAGTAAACTTAAATTGAAAGTTTCACAACAATACGTGCAGTGTTCTCACTACAGTTAATTTTTAAGTGTCACCAAGTCATTAGAAAAATGGAACTCAACCGATAACATTTTCGCTCCATAATTTATTACAACTTTCAGAGACAATTATCGCAACAAGAATGCCTTGCTGAGTTACTGTCTGTTTTCGGCAACGAAGCGCCACATCAGTCGACAATTGCCCGTTGGTATGGAGAATATACCTAGTCTAAAATAGCGTATCTGCCACTTTTTCAGATACTAAGTCATAACAACCTTTTTTTGTTCAAAATGACCCAAAAACTTAAAAAAATATGTCCGAAACACAAAATATTTTTTTTTATCCATTTGAAAAAATTGTTTGAAAAAATATTCATGCAATTTTGTACACTGCAGATTCGTTAAGAGGTGTCCTTTTTGGATGATACAAACGAATACTTCCTGGGCCTAGCTGATAATATGCGAACCTTTGCAACATTTTTTTTATTTTTCTTTCATTCCAGGAGAACATCCGGCGGCGATGCACCATGGCCGGGGCAGCCTAGCTAGGTTCTCAAGCCTTGTAATGACAGTTAGCTTAGGAGTATTGTTAATACTATTACCTGCCACGTAGTACCAGTTGTAAACAGTAACCCATCGATAAACACTTTGGTCTAAAGAAATACGTTTAGTCGGTAGGTAGACGGAATTTTTGTTTCCAATGCATCATGTTTAAATGGAATTTGTATACGGTAAAGGTTCGCTCAAAGGTTGTGTACTTTATGCTGGAATACTGGGTAAGGGCGCCCCCCACTAGACGTATACCCCCCCCCCCCCAAAAAAATATCATCATCTAAACTAGCGCGATATTTCTGTTATTTGCTCTCTAGTTTGCATAAATATGTTTTTGTAAATGCTCCATTATGAAACTGGATATTTTAGAACGATTTTGGAGGAATCCGGAATTTCTTATGGTACGCAGTTTTGAGGGACAATTCATCTCAGGCAGTAAGAGTTCAGCACCTTGATTAATTTGGTAGCTACTTTCAAACATTTGATCGGGAAAAGAGTCTATAGTGTATTTACACCCAAGATAGAATGGATGCGTGATTGCCAAAAGCAAGGACGGCGTACAGGGCCGCAATCAGGGCTACCTCCGAATGATGGACTACCACCAACGTGTTGTAAAACAAAGATGACAGTATTTAACGAAATTATCTAATATATTGAAGTAGTTATAGTTAAGGGTGTCGCAAAATCAAATTTTTATTCTTGAAGGGGTGCTAAGTTTTTCTACAGATTTTTCAAACTAGACAACATGGAGAAATACATACCAGAGGTAACCAGCTGCTCACTATACACAATGAATCCGTAGTGAACGAGGGGTAGAGATGACAGTTTTGTACATGGAATAAATATAAGGCTGTTTAATCAATTGAAAATAGATTTTGAAGGTGCACTTCGGACTTGCATTGTCTGTAGTTTATCTGTAAGTTAATATTTCACTATAACTAGGATTCGAATAATATGTATTCTGTGACAAAACAAAAACGCGAAACTTACTCAGACTCACTTGAAGAGCTATCGTCATTAATGTTTATGATGATGAATTCAAAATCTCTCTCAATTATGTTGTCCAACTCCCACATTGCTACCTCCACTTTCTCCTGAACATGCTGCACACATGTTTGCCATCTTTCTGGTGTGACCCTCTGTATAGCAATTCTGAACAGTTCTTGCATGTCAGAAAATTTAAATGTTTTTATTGTGTGCAGCAACAAAATTCTTAACATCTGCCCATATGAGCTCAATGGGGTTGATCTCACAGTGGTAAGGCGGCAAACGGAGAACTGTTTTGTGGTGTGCTTTGGCCATTTCATCTATGACATATTTATCATGTCTTGGTCTATGTTCTTTCACAATATCTAATTTTTGGAACGGAGCCAGCTCTGAATGTCTGATTTCCTAGTAGCTGAAGTTGGGTTGTTTTCTATTTTGCGAGAATGATAGGAAGCATTATCCAAAACAACCATAGAATTGTCTATTAGACGTGGTAAAATGCCTGAAAACGACTTCTAGAATGCTTCCCCATTCATCTCTTCATGGTAGTCAGTGTTTTTTTTTGACTCAAAAGACCATAAGCCGTCATCCACGAAGCCATCTACACCCCCAATGTGGCAAATAATGAGCCTTTTTCCTTTGCCTAGAAAGATAAAATCCGCTAAGTACACATGCACGTCTTGTAGGTACGAAGATAGAGCGCAAAAATTGATACCGTGAACTACTTCGATCTATTTACCTGCTGGATTTTTCAATCCGGTCGGCAGTCCATCTAGAAATGCCCTTCTGGATGAAGTCACAGTTTTGTTAACCCATACCTTCGGAGTAGTGTGCCGAGCGTTAATCCAGGTTTCGTCCAGGTAATAGATCTTCCTGTGCTGATCCCTGAATGATTTCATTTTCGTCAGGTACTCTCTCCTCCACATAACAATTTCTTCTCTATCCATAAGTAAGCTGTTACGACCTCGTTCCTTCCATTCGAAATTAAGATGCTTCAAAAGTTTATGAACAGTCGAACGTTTGAAATTTGGTAACATAGCATCCTCGTTAACCTCCCGTAGTACTTTATCAACTGTCGGTATTTCATTTCTGAAGAAAAACTCGTGCACTTTCCTCCGAATCGCATGCTTGTCAGCGTCATCCAACGATCTTATGATACTTTTGCGATTTTTACCCGTCATTGGCTTGGAAAAGGCATGTTTTTTCTTATGTTCGTTCAAAACATTGTACACTGTCGTTTGGCATACCCCAATTTTATCTGCCACTTTCAGAGCTATTTTCTGGTTAGTTGATGTTTCGTCTTCCTTCCGCTCTATCTTGAATGTATTCAATATGACGTCTTTCATGTCTACGCTTTCTAGGGAGGCTAAGGGAGTAGCCTACAGCCTTGTCAGCAGTATCTGTACTGGACATGTTCAGAATTGGTTCAAAACAAATATTAACGAGGAATAACAATAACAAACAGAAACTTAACAAATCACTCAAATACACTTAACAACAACAACAGCAACAACCAAGCAAAGTGAATACGAAAACACGAGCACGCAGTGATACACGCGACGGTCGGTGGCCTGAATGCAACTCTGCCTGCCCTGCCCCTGCCCCGCGCATTATTCCGCCAGGCGGCCGCTTGAAATTTAATGGCGAATTGACCAATAAGAGGCGTTGTCCCCACCTGTTACCGAGAGATCACGCGCTAACTGTTATTATTTACATCTCATCTTGAATTTGGATTCAGTTTAGGGTATATTGTACACAACTAAGTTCGAACGGTTTAAAATATCGATAATCGAAATTTTGTCTACCTATCATAATTGAAGCTTTAGTTGAAAATGCTGCACAAACTGATTCGGATCTGAGGTTGTGTGACAACTACGAAATACGAGGTCTGGGCTCTTGACAAAGCAAGTTGAAGTCGATCTCACTCATTTTTAGAAAAAAATAGGAACAAGTGTTTCAACAAAAATCGCTACCGGCAACCAAATGACTCGAGCGAGTTCAAACGTGTACTGAAGGCGGATCGCACGTTTCTCAGTCTCCCCTCCACGCTAGACGCCTCCAGTGTTGCCGGATCAGCGCTTTATTTACAGACCTCGTAGCTCAAGAAGGAGTACACTCGAAGGAAAAGTTTAGTCTAGTATACAATAACGTAAATGGTCATTCAGAAAAGTTAGCTCATAACTGCAAGCAGAACTATGATGTCTAGTAAGAACTATAATTATCGCAATTTTATTTTAATGTTGACGTAATGTATACGCTGATCGGTTTCAATTTTTAAGTAACACCACTTCAGCAGGTACTTTTTTACAAATCTTGATAAAATTTAGTTACAGCTTAGCAATGCACTTATGCTCCTATTAAAATGAGAGTTAATCATTTTTGTCATAAGATCTGAATCAGTTTGTGAAGCAGGAACGTTGAAAAGTGATGTGTGATTTATTAACAAATTTTGTTATATAGTTTTATATTGGCCAAAATTTTTTATATACAAATTTAGAGTTGATGAGGAAGTAAGAGTACCATGTCGCAATTCCAAGTACCCCATTGACCCCATATTTCATAAAAGGACAAAGAAACGTTGTTGAAGATTTCGTCAAAAAAATACGTGTTTAGAAACGACTCATTGACCCCTATAATTGGTCATATTAGCGGAAACGTATTAAAAACAAAAATATGTTTCTGCTAACATACGATATTTTCATTTAGTATTATCCTAATATACAGGGTGGCGCATCGAAAACGAAACAGACGCATTTACTGGCAGCTCAGTTTTTTTTTGTAAAAACGCTCAGACCTGTTGATTTTGTTTTCGAGGGGGACACAAGTCTGGCAAAAAGTCACGTTCTGGGCGGGGGTGACACTAACCCTAAAATCTTAAATGGAAAGGGGGGTCGAGTGATACCTTAGTTTAAAGGTCTTTCAATTCCCTGTATAATGATGTAAAATACTTGAGCGTCAGTTCAGTAGTTTTGAAGATTTATTGATTGAAAGCTTAAAGTAGACTTTAATAGGTACATAAGATTAGGTTGTACTACTTTCAGAAGAAATTTGACTAAAAGAATTTACTTAATAAGTGTTTTTCTTCACTACGCCCATGGTTTGTTTATCATTTTGTTGTTGAAAATAGCTATTGGAGCGTTTGTTTGTGATTTTTTGCCAAACTTGTGTCCCCCTCGAAAAAAAATCGACGGGTCTAAGCATTTTTCCAAAAAAAAAAAACCTGAGCTGCCAGTAAATGCGTCTGTTCCGTTTTCGATGCGCCACCCTGTATAAATATCAGCGAATCACTACTGAGTTACATCGCCTTTTCGACTGAGTGACTAGGAACCATTTCGACTGCAAGTCGGCATTTTGTCGTTTTTTTTTTACGTTTTATAGGTTTACTACGTAATAACCCTGCAGGGGTGTGGAACCACTGGGAAGAAGTGTACGAGAGAACGATCTCAAATTCACACTTATAAAACTTTGTGCAAGCATCCATTTTTTATGCTTTTGACAGAATTTCATTATGATCTACAGTAATTTCGTGGTGAATAGGATGGATCCCAAATCAACCGGTAGGTAATTGCCCTGGAAAATTCGAAATTTACAGTATACAATCCGAACCGGTAGTAATCCTTTTACGATTTTAAATACATCAATCAATCAAAAAGCGAAACCCATTTGTCGAGAAATGTTTATTATCTGAAATGAAAAAGAAGGGTTGAATATACCCTAACCGATTCTAGTTTAATGTTAATTAATCTTCGTGTTAGCACAAAACGAGCATTCTTCTGGAAAACAAAGCGAAAAGCGGAGTTCCCACAGCGAAAGATTGATTTACCGTTTTCATTATACCGATACCTAAGGTGATTTTAATTTAGGAGAAGTCAGGCTTATTCCTGCTATTTTTCAATGTTCTGCTTGTGTTTACGGCAGTGTCGCTGCTATATTAAATCGTTGTTCGGCGAAGGTTTGTACCTTGAATTCGGAAAACTAGGAATTAAGGAGGGCGTTTGAATATACAGGCTATCCTAAAAGGTGAGATTTTTCTTTGAAATAACGAAGAAAGTAAATGCGCGGGAAACGGCAGCAAAATCATGATGAAATAAAAAA